ATGAGGGGTAGTTGAAGAAATTCAAGTTACTTCAGCTGTGGACACAACTGAGCAAAAGATGAGTCCTTCGCTGGAGGAATCAAGGACGGCAAACACAGACAGTGAGGGGAAATAAGGGTAGACCTCTAATGAGTTTTCATGGGGCTCTGGGACTTGTGAAGTGTTCAAATGAAAATGTAGTAATGTAGTTCACATGGGTATAAGACCGCAGTTTAAACTCGTATTTAAGGCAAAGTCAAACACCCATGTGAACTATATTACTACATTTGTATTTGAACACTTGTGGACATTTTCAGTTGCTCTGCCGCTGAAGTTTGCATGTTCTTACAAGCTCCACACAGCATTAAATTTTTCCCAGTCCGACAAGAGGGGAGGTGGGCTTGGAGGGTGTTCTTGTCGGGGTAGGACATGGCCTTAAAAGCACACTGCAGAATACCACATCATACATTTGAGTACATGTCAAGATTTCCTGATGGTTGTAGACTGTACTTTTTGAAAGATGGGGCCTAAAACCACTTCTTATCTACTTTGTAATCGTCCTTTGTGTAACCTTATGAAAAGACCTTGAAAATGTTTTAATTAAAACTTAAAATATGATTAAAATTTGTGATAGAAATGCTTTTACCCATTTTACCGACAAAGACAAAACACTGTGTGCCATTATCAACCTCTCCATCTTATTAGCAAAACTTTATATTCACAAGGTCAAAGTTCTCAGCTCACGACCATCTCTCAAGCTTTTTGAACTTGGTTTAGAGTTTCACTACGACTCTCTTGTATTTGTTAATGCTTTCATTTTATTCAGAACCTTCTTCTAAATGAGTCTTTCATTGGGGTTTTTATTCTCTATCCTTTTAAAACCCTTTTTTTCCCTTTATCTTTGTGAGTATTACCTTGTGTTTTTGTCCAACCATTAACCAGTATGCCTGTTTGATGTTATCGTAATTATGTTGTTTTTAAAATTCAAGTCTGAGTCCTTGACTGCGCCCGGATTTCTGGCGTGTTCAGTCGATTTCGACTGCAACATTGGAAGATGTTGACTGACCTTTAATCCTTCTTATTTGGCTCCTATAACAGCTTCCTCAGTTGTATCTTCATTTAACAAAAGAAAATGTTGGCAGATTAGCTACAGGCGCTCACTCAGGGCCTGTATGAGGCCATGGTCACCAGGTGACATTGTCATGAAAGACTGAATATTGTCTGAATAGTTATCCTAACTAGGGATGGGTGATAAATTATTGTTTCTGTTGTCAGAAAAACCCTTTCCGATAACTATTTGCCGTCATGTAATAAATGCGATAAATGCAAGTTGATGGTTTAAGTGCAAGCGATGGACTGAGGTGAAGAGGACGTCTCTGAGCAGCAGGGATTTCCATTAAGATTGAGGCGTAGACGAGTGCAATCAGGTATGCCTGTCATCGGACAGTTTTCTCCATAACTAACCAATTAAACTTGTGGCTAAGTATCTTATTGGATTATGCTAACTGGTGTTCCCAAGACCGAATGAGTCAAAAACGTGGATTGGAATTAGAATATTTTTTACTTTACTTTTATCGTTATCGCCAGAATGGCAGAACTTATGGTGCTAAATGTTTTAGTCCATATCGCCCATCCCTAATCATAACTCAGTTCGGTGGTTTTCTATAGTATGAGCCAGTGTGAGCATGTGCATGTTAAACAGAAGAGGCCCCAGGATGGAGCCGTGGGGAACCCCAGATGTAATTTTTGTCTGCCATAAAAAGTCTGGATAAAAAATTGTTGCTGTTTGCGTTCACACGTGCAGCTTAACTTGAAATTTTTGGGTTTGAAATATTTTTGTTCCTGTGTAACAAACAGCTGTAGTTTTTTATGTTGGAAGTTAAAAGAAGGTGAAGAAATTGATCTTGTAATTACAGAAGAAACATAAAATTGTGGAAGTGAATTTCTTAAGCTTTTGTTTCAGGCCCCTTATCTTTTTAATTTTCATTAAAATGCAGTCTGTTTTGTTTAGGTAGCTGACACATTTGATATCTCTCCTTAATTTATATCTGTCAAAGGTATTTTAGTAACATTTCTGTCACACTAACTGACAGGTAAAATATCGGAGTCAATTGCACACAGTGACAGCTCACTAACAGTCTCTCATGTGTAACAGTAGCTGACGGAGAGATGTTTGGCTAGCGTCACTACAAATGTAAGCTCAATGACACTCGGACTGATTCATTTCTGTCTGGTGATACAATGGAAGCCAGTGTCGTATTCATTTAAAATAACCACTTTAAAGACACACCTTATCCTTTCAAAATGTGAATTTACAACACGTTACATGTAGAAAAACGAAGCTCTGTTCAGGGCCTTGTGAGAGTTGTTAAAAAAAAAAGGTGACAGGATAAAGTCATCAAAGTTTCACAGTCGTCTCTTTTTGTGACACCGTTTTATGGGGATAAATCTCTTTGGGCCTTGCAGTATCACACAGCTTGCATGTGCACCTTGATATTATGCCCGCTCTGCCAAAATCACCTCAGTTCAGCTCTGTCCCCGGGGCACGATTCTTTGGCTCTGCCCAGTTGACAAATGTGATTATTTTTCTGCTCTGTCCCTGGGACTGTCTGTATGAGCAAAAATACTAACTGCAGTGAATGTAGACAACTTGTACACGATATCTAAAAGATCCTTATGATATATTTTTAATATTTTTTCTTGCCTTTGTATAAATATTTCAGTCATCCTCCAGCCTTGCAGCTCTGAGACGGTAGAGGCAAAAACATCACAGCTTTGTTTGTATAGGCCACCAATCGGGACATAACAGACTCAACATTTAAAGCGGCTCCTGTGGTGATGCAATGACAGTAGTGATTTTCATAGAAGTGCATGCAAAACCACTCCCACTCCCCAAGTTATTCTGCTTTCTCCTATGTTATTGTAGTTTTGCTTTAGTGTGAAAGGTTAGAGTGCTCTGTTGCTGCTGAAAAAACCAACACAAACATCTACACTACACCTGAGCACCAGGGGACTAAAGTAAACACTGGTTTCTTCTTAGTTTTATCGACAACTTGCTGGGTAATGTTGGAACTAATTTGTTTGTCTAGCAAACCTCTTCACCTTTGACTGCTTCAACGAGAACAAACCACTTAATGTTACAAACAACACTTCAACAGGAGCCCCCTCCGATCTAGGGTTATGTTTTATGTCTCATTAGTTGTACTGGGGGTTCTTCTGGAGCACTCGCCGTATTTGTCTTGGTGTTTTTCCACCTCTACATTTGGTTTCCCTTAGACTTATCAGGCTGTCATAGTATTCCTATTCACTCGAATCACTGCACGGATAATAGGGGTGTTCCAACAAGGGTACCTCACGATTCAATTTGATGTTGATTACGGGAGCTTCGGTTCTTGTATTCTTCGATTATATTGATTGTTGATTTGATTAGATTTTTGGTGCCTTCATCTGTGGCTACATTTGTAAATAAATAGCCTTTCAACGAACTCAGTTCTTCTAAAACTACACTCAATAAGTAAATAAGTTTTTTTGGACATTTGACTCGTATTTTTCAAAGATACAAAATATTTTAAGACTGTAGGACTGTTTTGTAAACATTTTTACTTTGACCTACTTAACTTAAACTAAAAAGTTTGGAGACAGTCTCCAGGATGGACCTCTGTGTGGTGGGCACGACCGGAGGAGCCCTCTCTTTTTCGGGATGAAAATGTACAAGGTGCTGCCGCATGTTTGTGGTGTTGCTGAGGTACTTTATTTTTACTTCGTAAATCTTGCAAATGGTGTAGGTCTTGTCAGTCATCTTGTTTGCTCTCTCATAAAACCCAAAGTACTTCCACACAGTTGCCATCAACCCTGGTGGTGAGAGAATCAGCCGCTTTTTGGAGGCTGTTGTTGTTGTCCCACTCACTCAGTCCGGGCGGCATGTGCATTGACGTCATTGTTTATTTATTTATTTATCTTAACCATTGACATTAATTAATTCCAAATCGTCAGTTGAAGCATTGCAATGCATTGACCCATCAATAATTTGCACCCACCTCTAACTGATGATGAGGTTAGAAACTGAGAGGCTGCAGATCCTCTACAGAGGCTGAAGTTGTGGTGTTTTTGAATTTGAACTAGGATTTGTCTCGAAAAGCTAAATTATTGTTTTTTGGAAATTTTAAGCAAAAAATGTTGACAGTTTTTACCCCTGCTTCCTATAAATGTAAGGAGTTCACAATTTCAGAACAACATCTGCTAAAACTTGAAGTATTCAATGCTGAGAATTTTGCAGACAAGACATTGAAATACTTTGAAATGCATTAACCATCCTGACTGAGTGAAAATCTATCTCCACTGTACTCTATAACTGAGTCCCTGGTGATAATACACCGCTGGCTGCCAGCTTAATATCTTATGCATGGCACCGATTCTGCAGCACCTAGTGCTTGGCAATGCCAGCCACATCCAATCAAGACATTGTTCTACAACTCTGTGGAGGTTACAGACGGAGAGGACGGAGCAGAGGAGCCCAGTGGAATGTTGAGCTGGATGGATGGGGGAGTTAGAGAGGGAGAAAAAGAGGAGAGGAACGGCAAACAATAGCACTGAGTGATGTAGTCGGTGGGAGGAACAGGTTTGCAGGATTGCGTCAGTAACAAGAGGTGACTAAATCAATTCCGCCTGAAATGAGAGATTGATTTGAAAGTGAAACAAAGACAATAGTGACAAGAGCAGATATGGGAGGAAGGAGGGAATGAAGGGAAGGGAAAATGGGAGAATGACAGAAGACAGAATATCACTTAAAGTGAGTTCAGGCAGGAGAAAAAAAGTGACAGACTGTCAAAATTGTAACACAGACATTTAATGTGTCAATCAAGGGTAAGAGACTAAAAGCTTTACAATTTTTCAACGTCCTCTTGTCATTCTGCGGCTGAATTTATTTAAACTGAGCCTGCTAAGATCTTTCTCTACCTAAATATATTCATGTTTTAGGAAAGTGTTCATTCATTAGGGGGATTCAGGAAGTAATGCCCATGATACCATAATACCACGATACAGAGAGACTGTATCATAGTATTATGGGCAGTACCATAATACCATGATACAGTCTCTCTGTATCATGGTATTATGGTACTGCCCATGATACTATAATACCATGATACAGAGAGACTGTGATTGTAAATATGTTACAAGAGGATCGCAACTCAACTCAACCAAACCCAACTTTATATTTAGAGCACTTTAAAATACAACCATAACTTACACAAAGTGCTGTACATAAAAATATAAAACATAAAACAACAATTAATAGTTGTTTTAAAATATAATAAAAAGAAATTGTGGGTTTTAAGATAGGTTTTAAAAATCATCATGGAATCATGGGATATCACGATGTCGTATTACTTTAAAGGGACATTCTGTAAATATTGTCTTAGTTTTCTCTTTCTTTCCTCTTTTTGGTTTTCAAAGTGACGGGTGCATCTTAGACCCTCTTTATTAATTGTGTCCTGTTTTTATGCCGCTGTCAACTTCTTCTTGAACTAATTAATTTCTGTTAACTTATCCTCACTCATGTCATTAGCACCAGCACACTGAGTCATGGAGCTTGGATGCTGTGAGTCAAATTGACAGGGAAATCTATTTAAAGCAGCGTATTTTTTTCAATTAAAATATCAATATTTAGCGCGGGCGTATTGATGATTGTGTCCCACAGGTCAGGACGATGATGAATTCCTGTTCTCATATTTTTATCCCACCTCTAGCTTTCACCGTTTTCTTAATTTCTTTAATATTTCGCTCATCATCCGTCTAACTTCTGTTTTACTCTACAGCTCATATTAAGGCGGTTTGTCCCCAGAGCGTTTCTGCATGAACGAGGAAAAGGAGAAGCATCATTCACTGACTTTTTCTTGGCAGAGCTGCAGAGCAGTGTGGGCTGCTTTGTGTGTTTGATAGTGCGTCCTTGTTTGATTTTTAATTTTCTTATTCATAATAACCTTGAAAATTCAATTAATGGACTCGTTCTCAACATCCCAGATGGTTAAATAGTTTATCAAGTTTCAATTATAGATATATATATATATATATATATATATATATCAATAATGGATTGATTGTACAAAACAACTGTTGATTTATTCCTTTTAATTCAATAATTTAAAAAGTTGCGTGCACTGATTTCAGTAAACAATTATTAATTTAAATGAACCTGCGTCCTCTTGTCCTTAGCTTGCAGTCACACTGTCAGGTATGAGGTTTTTGTGCATCAGCTAAATTCATTATCACAAGCATGAGTTTTGTCAGTCAGGTTTTCTGTCCGTTCGTCTCCTCGACCCTTGTTCCTCCTCACTCATCCGTTTACTCTCTTTTTATACCTCGGGCAAGAAAAAAAAAAAAAGGGAGGTTGCTATCCTCATTAACCTCCCTGCCTCTCTCCAGCTCACCTCAGGCCAGCCCCACCTTAAGCTGCACTCATTACTGCTGAATCAAGCTGCGGTGACGGAAATTGAAGCTGGAAAGCCAAGAAAGTGGGAGAGGGAGAAGCAGGAGAGGGAGGACTGTCGTAATGGGAGACAGAGAGGGAAATAAAAAGCAGAGAGAGAGACAACAAGCAGGAAAGAAAAAAAAAATCAAAGGAGTGATTCACTTTAGTGTGGTTAAATGAAAAACGGACAAAAAGAGACAGACGACAGGGGCAGAGAATCCATTAGGGAGCTCGGGAGTGGCTCCGATGATGTGTGAGCCAGTCGTGAGCAGACACGCTCACAGCTTCAAACTTTGGCACTCGGTTGGCATGGTTATCAATGATAGATATCAACTTTCAGATCAGAGTTATCTATCAATGCCACGTTGCTGTTGGCTGCCAGACAACCAATTCAGACTCACAGAAAAGTTCTTCACAGCCGTATGGATCTTCTATAAGACTCTGGACCATTAACCATGTAAAAGAAATGGATGCAACCGATATAAAATGACATCTTAGATTGTGAGCTTGTGGACTTGTGCATTTTGGCTTTGGTCGTTAACCACAGGGGACCACGGTCGGAGATTAGATTGATTGATTGAGTGCTCGGTGTCCGTCTTGGCTGATAGGTTCGTGTAATAGAAACTTAATCCATGGTTCACCGTTGCTGGGTGACCATAAAGCTTCTGGGTAGGGCTGGGCAATATGGGAAAAGGTTTGTCACGATATATTTTTTCATATCAGTCGATATTGATATGTATCACGATATAAAAAATGACATTTGACAGTGCTTATTGATAGCATGTGTTTTGCAATACAATAAGCAACTGCATCTGTGAGGTCTTTGTGTCTCTTTGACGTTTTCTCGTAAGGCGTTGCGCTAGAGAAAGCGGCGCCATGGGCTCCCTGCTCCGCTCTGGGTTTGTAACCTTTTGCGTTGCGCATGCTCTGCTGCGTGGCGCTGCTTCAGGTGGTGAAAAAGATTTGAGGTATTCCCGACTTTGTGAGAACATGAACTCGATACAATTTGCAGTGCACATGACTCTGCTTCATGTCCGACCTCAAAAAACCAAAATACCTCCACATCACCAACGTTTTCGTGCCAGTGTTGTCGACAACGACATCATCTGTTGAACCTTCATCTGCGTTTCTGCCGGGGTAGCACTCATTTTCACCCACAGTACTGTCGGACTCACGTGTTAAAGTGCTATGGTTGCGTGTAGCTGCAGCCTGCTATCACGCAGTTGTTTGCTACTTGGTTCTAATTCAGCACATGATTGGTTCTGCTCGAAGCGGACCCAGAGCGACGCCTTTTTTCATTGGCTATTTGTGTAGTCTACCGAAACATGGCAGAATGCCGACTATCGAAAAGCACTATGTTTTATATTGATATTATATTGACCATGTTTTATATTGATATTGAGGGAAATTAATTTTCGATATATATCGTTATCGTTTTATCATCCAGCCCTACTTTTAGGAGTGATGAACTTCTCCTTTTTTGGTTATTAAAACAACTGATCAGAAATTTCGAGGCCAAGACTTCTCCACTCATTGTTTACAGCCCCACTATAGCACCTTAGTACCTGAGGACTGAGTTTGAAGAGGGAGACACTGTCAACAACCAGATTGTTAGCTGACTCATACACAGATGTCTGTTTGCAGAGAGTAAGATGGAAAAGATTAAGACAGCTTCTTTGTATCCTATGTATTTTATCTAATCTAAGGCTCTTTGAGATGATAGTTGACAGATGATGGTATAGATTTACAGCAGATGAGTCCCACTTCTTTCACCATATGGTAAAACTCCTATAGTTAAAAATAAAAGCGGTCTGATGAGTTGTTAAAAACTTGTACAGGGATATAAACATTATAAACTTGTGATACCTTCAGTAAGAGTGTCCAAAAAATGAACTTCTTTACTGCCTTTTTTTCCAGCTGCACCAAAAATTTCTGTCAGCAGAGCCTCTTAATCCCTAATCCTCAATCATTGACATTTCCTAAACTAAAGGGATTATCAAATTCTACTGAAGAATCATAGACAGATATTTAGTCCTTAAGCCAAGTATTCTTGGAAGAAAGTGGGTGTGATGGTATTCACATCCTCTCGGTCGTTCACTTCTCCTAAATGAACTATACTCTTTTGTTCACTCGTTGCAAAATGGTCAGCTCAGCTCATCGTTCAACAAAGTACGATTGAGTTCAATGAACAGATTCATTTTGGCATGTTTACACTCAGCAATGTCAGCAGGAGGACTAATGTTTAGGCGCCAGACCTTTTTTTTTTATTGTGGACTGCAGAGAGGAACTGAGTAGAAGTTCATGACTGCATCATCTTTACTCCAATAAAGTCCTTAAATATAAACACAAAGACTCTGAGTTTTGTGTCTTAAAACAGGAAATCTTCTCAGGTCAAAGCCACACAAGACCTCTATTAGAGCTGGGTGATTAATCAGATTTTAATTTTGATAACAGTTTAAAAAAAAACAGGATAACAAGACTGAACTATTATTGTCCCTCCTGCTTTGTTGTCCCCAATATGAAGCCCACCCTCCCTCTCTTCCTTTAAACTGCATCATAAGCAGCTCGGATCAACATGAGACAAAGAAAGGAAGTTAATGGTGGCCAATGTATCTTAAATATGTTGTGCAACAGTGGTACAAACTATCAGGCAGCCACAGGTGGAGAGAGGAGAGCAGGGAGAGGAGCAGGAGGAGACAGGTGTGTGTGTCTGAAAAGCCAAGGGACAAAGTGAGAACTGCGAGAACGAGGCTATAGTGATCAGGAGCGTGCATGAATGCTATTGCGCTAATGAGCTAATGACTGCTGAATCATAACAAGAAACAAGCTCAAGTCTTAAGTTACAAAGGACACTGTATGTGACTGCTGGAAAAGACTGAACAATTTGTCAGATATGCAGCCTGTGGTAAATTATAAGAGGTTGAACCCTTAATTTTTTTTATTACAGTGTAAAAAATACTTGAAAGTGATGTGAAGAAGTGATTCATGGTCCCTTTCAGTCGTAGAACATGACTGTTTATATCATCCAAAAAGACAGACGGACATGAAAAAGGCAGGTGAAACAGTTGTTTACCACTGTTACCGTAATTTTTACCGTAGTTCTAACCCTCAACTATTTCTGCTTCTACTTGTCCTGCCTCTCTAACTTAGTCATCACTGGAGCTGGAAAGTAATTTTCCGATAACTGCACACAGCGGTAATTGGGTTCAGTATTTTGGCACATGTTCAATTGTGTACAGCCACAGATGCTGTCAGTGTTGGGTTTGAAAGTATGACCCTGTTAGCTTCTAACTTTTAGCTGCAAGCCTTCAGGTTTTTTGTTTGTGATATTTTGACGTCATGATAAGATGAAGGGTCAGGATGCAACTGCAAAAAATTTTTAGCGGCTGTTGTTACCATGACAACAACTGACTGTCATCGTTAATACTGGAAGATAATGGCTGTTTCCCCTGTGACTTGTTGATCACACCTGAGTTGGATTCCTCTCTGTCTATGTCGTCTCTGTGTTTTAGCTCTTCACTGTCAGTTTATTGTGTCTTACGCCAAGGTCAGACTAAACATAATAAGCAAGATTAAAGTAGTTTGGTGCAACATTTCAGGACCCGTATGCACTGAAAAACTGATTATTTATCCAGTGTCGTGTTTCGTAG